AGTGTGGTATTTTTTGACAATATTCTCTCATCATGACAGTAAAATAGAGCATTCTAAGTCAATATACTGCAGTATTTCCTCTCAATCAGTAGAAAATATGCTTAACATCCGCTCATGCATGAAAAAAAAATACCGTAATGTACCGTGAAACCGATATAACTTTGAAAAATACCGTGATATACATTTCTGGTCATACCGCCCAGCACTAGTTTGAAGTAATCAGGTTGTCTCTCCTGTAGGTTCGTCTTCAGGTCCAGAGTGTGGATAAACCGCTTTACCGAGGGACTTTTCACTGTTTCCAGTCCATCATACGTCAAGAGTCAGTGAGTGGAAACTTCAGTGGTTTTAACTACAGAACAAACACCTACACACACAAACACTTTTATCAATATTTATTTTGCACTTTATTAATATTATTTAGTTGCATTTTAAAATAATTATTCTTTATACTTATACTTTAGTAAAATATAGTGAGTTCCATATTTCTAACTTATATACAGTGTATATATATATATATATATATATTATTATTATTATTATTTTTTTTTTTGTGGCTGTTCACACTTACACAGATCTGTGTCGTGGGAAAAACTTGCAATCTGGGTCGCGTTCAGTTGCGGTGTAAGTGTGGCCAAGAGTGTCAAAAGTCCTGAGGAACTGTACTTCAGTTTAAGCACAGAAAATATGTCAAGCATTTTACTCAATTCAAAGTCTAAGTAACTACACCAAAGATACGACAGCTAAAGCAAAACATTTAATTGCACTTAAGTATTTAGATTTTCTTTTTAATCTTTTTGATGCAAAAAAATATAGATTCACCCCAAAATAATACTTAAATGTAGTACTGAAGCACTAATACCAAATACACAAGACTTACCATTGTATAGTTATTGAAAAAAATTATTGACTTTTTTTTTTTTTTACGAAAAGTTGTTCCTGGGAAAATATATCGAAATGTAATATTGTATGTAATTGATATTTATTTATTTAGCTTGTTTGAACGACTTGGTTTCACTCTGCTAGTCAATGTAAACAGTTTTTTTGTGTGTTTTTTTTAAGGTTGTTCACATTAATTTTTAAATATGAATCCTATTAAAGTCTGACCTCTATATAAATTTTTTTTTTTTAAATCACACAATTGAATTGATCTTGTTTGTTTTATTACAATATGCTAAATGTAATACGTTTACAAATATTTGAATTAACATTCATCACTAGTTTTACTAATTTCTCAATTACGTAAAAATAAAAATAGTATTTTTTATTTTTCCTGATCCGAATGACATTAAAAGACAAGGCTGAGTAAATGTTAACAATCTTAATTTTTGGGTGACAATCCTTTTCAGACACAAACTTTGAACTATAATAATGTTTAAAGTGAAACTATAGTAATATAAAAAAAATTTGTTCTAATATTTGAATTCATATTTTAGTCATTTTATATTTGACTATTAATATTTATGATTTAAATGTATTATTATATATTATTAGTTACTTTTTTATAGTTTTATGCATTTTATTATTCTCGATTGCCACAAATATAGTCTTTTATAAATGTTGATATGGCATAAAATGATAAATAGATAAACAATTATTCAAATGCTTAACTTCTCTGGTGCTGCCTTTGATATCTGTGCATATGTGACCCTGGGGGCATATTACAGAAACCTCCTAACTTGACAAAAAATCCTAACAACTGTCTTAGCTTTAGGGTTAGGGTTAGGCTAATAATTGAAAATGAAGAACAGAGATGTTTAAGGGTAGAAAGACTCTTGGAGGACCCTGAAGATGTGTTACATTTTGATGACAAAACACTTATACGTACAGACTGCCGCGTGCAACATGATATTATAGTTAGCACAGGAACTGCAACCAGCATTACTGAGACCAACAAAGCGTCACGGAGCATTACCTGTTATAGTGCAAGTGACTAATGCCTTACACCGTGTCTACACTGGACGCGAGCGGCACGACAAAATACTATAGAACTCATCAGGGACGTCATGCACGCATTATTTTTGAGGGGGCACGAGTTGGGGGGGGCAACATGTTTTATAAATTTTTTCCTGTTTATTTGAAACATTCCCTAACGCATTAACTATATCATTAAATATCTTGATTCTCACCTTTATAGATTATGTTGATCTATAGTAGGCGATGGTCAAAGTACTGTATTGGCCCGAATATAAGACGACCCTGATTATAAGACAACCCCCCTTTTTCCAGATGTACCTTTTGGAAAAAGGCTTTTTAAAAACAAAATCTTGTTTTTTCTCAGTAAAACACATTTTGTCTTCAGTTATTCTCATATTGCATATTTTTCCTATTTTAATTTTTGTTTTGAAAGTATGGTAAAAACTGATCAAATGTACCAACAATCGCATTAAAAAAATATACACTTAAAAAAAACAATAAAAAGCAGGTAGCCCATCTGAATTAGGACATTTAGGCTATCCATCTAATAGTAGCCTACCAAACTCTTATTAACAGTAGAAGTTAATCTTACTGTAGTCTTCAAATCTGGGTACTGTCTTACGTTTTAGAGAGTTTGGTCCCATCAGACTAACGTGACCGTCACGACTCATGCAGCTGTAAGCTTTTCTTTTTCTCTTTACAACACGCATTACATTACATATTTCACGGCACACTGGTTTTATGTGTATTTGGCGCCACCTATTGTTGTGGGTGTATTATTGACATGTCAAAGTCTAGACCCCGAATATAAGACGACCGCGTTTTTTCAGATGTATTTCCAAGAAAAAAACATTGTCTTATATTCGGGTCAATACGGTAATCTAATAATATAAGGTGAATTGCTCTAATGTGGGACATTTTTTGCATTTCAGATTTCTGTGACATATTGCGATGTGTAGCCAAAACATTAAATCCACACCCAATACCATTAAAAAAAAAACAAGATGTGTCCTAAATAAATCAAAAGAGAAAATGCAGATAACACATTCATAAAAGAAATGATAGACATATTAGTGCTCTTAGTGCAAGTCGTCTGAGAAAATCTGCAGCTTCCTAAAGTGAGACAGTTGTGTTCCTAACGTGGGACACTGATAAGTCTATGATAAAAGGCCAAAATCACCTTTTATGTAGAATAGTCAAATCTTAAAAGTTAGTAATTCTCTTGGTTATGGATGGATAAAATATGGATGATAATAACATCAAATAATATAATATGATAGTTATGATGCATTTATTATAAAGACATTTAAGCAACTATTATCATATTTATTTTTATTACTATTTTATTACATATTTATTACTATTACTAATAGTAATATGAGAGAGGATGTGATTTTGATCGCTTTGGTAACCCATAGTTTCACTGGCATTCATGTATTTATAGGGGAGCTATAGACACGAAACCTTAAGTGTCCCACATTAGGCAGTGTCCCACTTTAGGGCAATTCACCCTAGTCTATGCATAAAAACCTGTCTGTTTACTTAATTAACAGATATGGGTGTCATGCCATATCATATTTTTAATGCGACTGACTTTATATTTAATGTGAATTTAACATTGAAAGTTAATATGAGTAAAAACATTGCAAGTTAGGCTACTAATCATAACACTTTCATTGTACAGAAAGAGAGCAAAGAACATTTTCACTGACAGTCTAGTTCAAGCACTCTCAAAAACTCATATTAAAATCACTGAAGCTGTTCAGTGCACAGATACACTATGAAATGAATATCTTACAGATTCGTACACACATTTGCACTGTTGTTTCTGACGAGAGAATTCGCCAGAAAGAGGTATTCAGTCAGCGAGCGAGTGAAGAAAACACCGGCATTTTAGCGATGACTCATCTGAACACCTCTGGTTGGCCATTGCGCTCATAAGATCAACAGCATCGTGTGTGATTGGTTATAATGCGCAGTGCTGTAAAAACGTGTCTGTCTCTGGCTCAGCACCAGCCAGCGAACGCAGATTTGAATTTATTGAATTTATCATAGATGATATGACACGCTGAACGATTTAATCACGCCGGTGTGATTGTATTAAATATAGAAACTATTAATCGGCTATTTAAGCTTCATTCAAAATCCACTTGGCTCAAAAATCTGAGAGGGCATGTGCCCCCTCACTTTGAATGGGCATGAACTCATTATAATCAGTGATGCTGTCTACACTGGCTGCGGCGCGGCTCACAACGACAAATCCCCGACAGTAAACTGCTGCCGCGTTCTATTTATGACGTGCTGACACAAATTTCAAATGATTTTTAATGGTCGCTTTGTCGTGTCCAGTGTACAGTAGACAGACTTTATCTGTTGCGGAGCGGCGCGACACGACAGCTGTCGCGTCCGGTGTAGACACGGTGTTACGTTTTTTTTGCAAAAGGCGATTTTCAAAGTGAAGTAGCTTCTATTATTTTGTTTACCTCATCAGCAGCTCGCGCACTGTTGGTTGCTTGGTAACAAACCTGAAAGTGGATTGTCGAGCTTGATAATGCAATTTAAGATTTCCTAACTAGAGATAAGATACGATTTTGTAAGATAGGAAAAGAATCCCAAATCAAGTTAAGATTTGCTTCTGTAATACGAATTTCTGAAACATGCTAATTTAACATATCACATCTTAAGTTCAGACCTAAGATAAGAAACTTTCTGCAATACGCCCCCTGGACCTTAAAACCAGTCATAAGGGCCCTTTTTTTATTGAGATGTATACAACTCCTGAAAGTTGAACAAATAAGCTTTCCATTGATGCATGGTTTGTTAGGATAGGAACATATTTGACCAAGATACAACTATTTGAAGATCTGGAATCTGAGGGAGCAAAAAATTTAAAATATTGAGAAAATCACCTTTTAAGTTGTCCAAATGAAGTTCTTAGCAATGCATATTACTAATGAAAATTTAGGTTTTGATATGTTTATGGTAGGAAATTTACGAAACCTCTTCCATCTTCCAAACATCTTTTTTTGGCATAAAAGAAAAATCTATAATTTTGACCCATGCAATGCATTGTTGGATATTGCTACAAATATACCTGTGCTACTTATGACTGGTTTTGTGCTCCATGGTCACACATATGCATGTAAACAAATGCCCCTTGGATCACTTTGTTTCACCTTCTCCGCAGATGTTTGGCCTTTATAAAGGCATTGGGTCGCCCATGATGGGCCTGACGTTCATCAACGCCATCGTCTTTGGTGTTCAGGGCAACACCATGCGCATGTTGGGCGAGGATACGCCCATGAACCAGTTCCTAGCCGGAGCGGCGGCCGGCACCATCCAGTGCGTGATCTGCTGCCCGATGGAACTGGCCAAGACCCGAATGCAGATGCAAGGAACGGGCGAGAAGAAGTCGTCCTCTCGGAAGGTCTACAAAAACTCGCTGGACTGCCTGGCTCGCATTTACCAGCGCGAGGGTTTGCGAGGAGTCAACCGAGGAATGGTTACGACTCTCATCCGAGAGACGCCGGGATTCGGCGTTTATTTCCTTGCGTATGACCTCCTGACGCGTTCGCTGGGATGCGAGCCAGAGGATCCGTACATGATTCCCAAACTGCTGTTCGCCGGAGGCATGTCGGGAATCGCGTCTTGGCTTTCAACGTATCCTGTGGACGTGATAAAATCCCGACTCCAAGCCGATGGGGTCGGCGGAAAGTACCAGTACAGCAGCATCATGGACTGCACAAGGAAGAGCATCCAGCGCGAAGGTTGGCGGGTTTTTACACGCGGACTTACTTCCACTCTTTTACGGGCTTTTCCGGTCAACGCAGCCACTTTCGCTACTGTCACACTCTTCCTTTTGCACGTACGTCCGATTTAGTTTTCTTTCTTTTTCAGGTTTGTTGTTACTGCTGTTGCTGAACGGATGGATCAGTATTGAATCTGATGAAATGTCTGTCCTATTTTTGTATGAAAAAGTTTAGTTCTATGCTACTCCCATTTGAAAAGTGGTTGGCCTCAACCAATTTATAAATTGCTTTTGGTCAGGTAAAATATGTGAAAATAAATGGGATAAATGATAAATCTTGTGTCTTTTTTGTCTTTATATATAACTTGCTATAAATAGATGTTGACGTCGTATGGTGGGATAAACACAAGAATTAGATTATGTGATTTAAAAGTATTTTATTTCATTTCTAACATGAAAATGCATTTCAAATTATAAGCCAACCCATTCATTTGAGTATTGGCTTTGCGTTATATTGTTCAGTCATATTTATGGTTTGACTAATGTTTAATCCTTTAGAGGATTCCAGGTACTCATCTTAAAACTAGTGAACAAACAAATCTAGGTGAGATTGCACAACTACTCAAGACACATTACTCATCCTGGGATTTCTTTCCAGGTACACCATCTCTAGTTTTAGCACGCAGCTTGTTTACTTTTCTGCAATGTCTGCCCGCTCTTCTGCCTCTTCTAGCTCATGCTGCAGTTTTCGTAATTTGGCCAGGTTGGCATTTGCCTGTTCCTCAGCTTCTTCAGCAGAACGTTTGTAAAATTTTACTTTCAGTTGTAGCTTGTCCACCAAGTCCTGCAGTCTTGCCAAGTTCTTGCGCTCCTCGTCCGTCTGATAAGTCAGCTCCTTAACCGAGTGTCCGACTGGATCATCTTCAGCTGCTTCTGAGCATCTGCTGCCTGTCTGTTGGCCTGGCTTAATTGAATTTCCATTTCATTAAGATCTCCCTCCATCTTATTTTTTACTCTTAAGGCCTCGTTACAGCTTCTCATCTCTGCCTCAAGGGAGGCCTGCAAGGATTCAACCATACGCTGGTAGTTTCTTTTTGCTTGTTCCATTTCCTCATCCTTCTCAGCCATCTTACGCTCAACATCTGCCTTCAACTGGTTGAACTCCAGTTGAGCATATAGGATCTTACCTTCTTCATGCTCAACTGAAGCATCAGCTTCTTCTAGTGCAGACTGCAATTCTGCTTTCTCCTGTTCCAGCTGTTTCCTCAGTTTTTCTAACTCATGGACACTCTTCCGTCCTTCTCCCACTTGATCTGTTAAGTCTGAGATATCCTCCTGTAGATTCTTGTTTTCCCTCTTTACAGTCTCAAGGTGATTTCGAGTTTCTTCATAGGAATTCTTCAGTTTTAAGAGCTCGGTACTTAAGCTGCGGGCTTCCTTTTGTGCTCCCTCAGGCTCACACTGTGACTCTTCGTACTTTTGTTACCACTCCACAATGACTTTGTCAAAGGATCTCTGTTTTTTTGTCCAGGGCCGCTGATGCTGAATTTGACCTTTCAAGGTCTAACATCAGATCCTGAATCTCATTTTGCAGGCGATGTTTTGTTTTCTCAAGAGAAGAACACTTTGCTTCCACTGCTTCCTCTGCTTCTTGCAATTTTTGTACAAGCTTCTTCTTGGCTTCCTCCAGTTCCTCCGTTCTCTGAATTCCGTCAGTCTCCTACTTTTCCCTCCATGTTGCTACCTCTGTATTGGCCTTGGATAATGCCCGTTGGAGCTCAGCTTTTGCTTCTTGTTCCTCCTCAAATTGCTCTCTTAGTAAGTCACAGTCATGACGGACCGACTGTACAGCATGAGCAAGAGCATTCTTTGCTTTCACCTCTTCCTCAATTTGCCTTCTCAGGTCTTCAAGTTGCTGGGTGGAGCAGGTATTTCCTTTAGTGAGTTGGGAAATCAGACATTACTTCTCTTCCAGTTGTCGTCCAAGTTCCCCATTTTCAGTCAGCAGCTTGACTTTCTGGGTAGACAAATCATTCAGAGCTCTCTGGGCTTCTTCAGCTTTTGACCTATGCTCATTCATCTGATCTTCCAGTGAACGGCACATCTTTTCAAGATTTACCTTGGCTTTTACCACACTCTCCATGTTTGAGGAAAGGTCATCCAATTCCAACTTGAATTCAACTTTTTCTTTCTCTAACTTTTGTTTGACCCTTTGCAATGAGCCCTCAAGGTCATCCACCTGTTGTTCATGCTTAGCTTAGCTTTTGCTTTTGTTAATGTATTTACTTTGTCCTTCTCACTTTGAATGTCATCCAGTGTTTGCAGTCTTGTAGAGCTTTTTTCTCTTTGGTGAGTTTCCTTATATTTTCATCAAGAGATGCCATTTCTTCGGTCAGATTCTTTACTTTGTTCTCAGTGGCATGTTTGTCCTTTTCCGCCTTGGCCAATGTCAGCTCTAGGTCATCTATATCTTTCTTGAGCTCAGAACATTCATCCTCCAACTTGCGTTTCTTGGCTGTGAGGTCTGCGTTTATCTCTTCCTCATCCTCTATACATTCTGACAGCTCTTTGACTTTTGCTTCTAGCTGGATTTTGCTTTTTATGAGCTGTTCACATCGTTCTTCAGCATCCGTTAAAGTGTCTTGCTCTGATTGCAGCTGAAGAAGCAAATCATTATTCTCTTGAAGAAGACTGACCATCTTCTCCTCTAACTCTTTCCTCCTGGCCTCAGATTTCTCCAATGCTTCTTTTAACTTATTGAATTCATCCTTCATGTTTGCCATTACCTTTTCAGACTCGGCACTCCTTAGCAAAGGTTTTATCTTAAAGAACAGTTTCATCCATGGCCAGTTTTTCACACGAAGGAAGGAATGATGGTTCCACTGAATGACCATGAGGGCATCTCTTCATTCCACCAGTTTCTGATACTCAACTCTCATCAGTAATCCATGAGCATAAGCTTGGATCCTAGTGAGGATGCGAGTGAGTTGGTCATCTTGCATCTCTTCTAACGTACCGAGCAGCACAGCTTTGAAAAATACTTTTGTGTGGACAACTTTGTATTGCGTGTGGTCAATGTCTAGTGAGCCTAACAGCTTCTCTGCACTTTTCTTGTTTTCAATTAACTGACCTTCGGGGATGGCAGATGCATTTAGGATTCTGTACCTCTGTTTGAAATAACCATAGAGGATCCTGTTTGGGAAACCTTTGCTGCAAATCCTGATACCCTCCAGTACACCATTGCAGCGAAGCTGGTGCATGACCAGACAGTTGTCCATGATTCCAGGAGTCTTGCTCTCATTTGGAATCAGACAACGGACAAAGTGTGGGTGTGTGGTTTTCAGATTGGTCATTAATTTGTTAAGGTTTTCTCTGTGCAGGGCAGACACTGTCTGAAAAGATGACCCCTTTTTCTTGGTCCCTTTCCCACCAGACTTTTCTGCTCCCTCTGTTCCTGCATAATTTGAGAATAGATGACTCAACAATTTCAAAGAGGATTTCTGATAGAGCCCAACTACAGTTTCATTCAGTGGGTCTTTGTTCTTCACCAGCCAGCCGGAAATATTATAGTCAACAGTACCTGCATAGTGGGCCAAGGCGAAGTGCGCTTCTGCCTTTCCCTTCACAACTCGCGGCTTCTGTAAAATTTTTGTCTTGCCCAAATGGTTGTCATACAGCTTTGCTTTGAATGTCTGATCACTGGCCTTTGGAAACATGCACTCTTCCTCGAGAATGGACATGATCCCTAGGGGTTGCTCAATCAGATCGATGCAGGCTTGCAGATCCATCCCGAAGTCAATGAACTCCCAGTCAATCCCCTCTTTTTTGTATTCCTCTTGTTCCAGAACGAACATGTGGTGATTGAAAAACTGTTGCAGCTTTTCATTGGTAAAATTGATGCAGAGTTGTTCAAACGTGTTGAAATCAAATATCTCAAAGCCAGCGATGTCTAGCACGCCAATGAAATATTGCCGATGTTGCTTCGTGTCAAGGGATTGGTTAATTCTTACCACCATCCAGTTGAACATTTTCTCATACACTGACTTTGCTAGTGCACCAATTGAGTAATACACTTGGTCCACACTCTGTCCTTTTGTAACGTATTCATTGCCTATCTTGGCCCTTGGATGGCAGAGTCCTTTGAGCAGGTCAGCAGAGTTCAGCCCCATTAGATAAGCTGCCTTACCTTCAGTACCGTCAGGCTCTGCCTGCTCTTCACGCTGTTTTTGTTTGAACTTCATATTGCCATAGTGCATGATAGCACCCGTCAGCTTGTAGACTCCTATCATTCCTTCAGCTGTGAAGCCAAGTACGTCAAATGCCTTGTCAGTAGCTGAGACCAATTTTATTTTTATTTGAGTCAAGTACAATATATTTGTAATGAAAAAAAAAATGATTAGAATGGAATGCAAAAAAACGTTTTTTTTTTTGTGTGTGTGTGGTCTCAACTTTTGTACTGCAATATATGTTCATATATATAAGCTATATAAGGTTTTGTTTTTTCTTTTCATTTTTTTCTATTTTTTATTAGTAAGGGCACATTAAATTGATCAAAAGTAACTATATTTTATAACTATTTTTATAACTATATTTTTATTCAGCAAAGAAGCAGTAAAGTGGCAGTGAATACATTTATAAGTTTATGGTGTTAAATGGTGTTCTTTTGAACTTCCTATTCATCAAAGAATCCTGAAAAAATAAAGTTGTATGGTTTTCACAAAAATATTAAACTGTTTTCAACATAATCAGAAATGTTTCAGCAAATTAGCATATTAGAATGATTTCTGAAGACTGGAGTAATGATGCTGAAAATTCAGTTTTTATCACAGAAATAAATGACCTTTTAACAGATATTCACATAGAAAACAGCCATTTTAAATTGTAATAATATTTCACTGTTTTTACTGTCTGTTTCAATAAATGCAGCCTTGGTGAGCAGAAGAGACTCAAAAACATACAAAAATGTAATAACATTTTACTGTAGTGTGTAATGTAGCTTGCGCTCACTGTTGTAAACGGAAGCAGTTCTGGGCGGATGACGTATGAGTTCAGTGCTGCGCATGCGCCGGTGAGTCTCGTGAAAACCAACGTTTGTTAACAGGAGCAAAGGAAGCAAAGTTTCCTTACTTTAGCAAAGGAAAACCAGTCTCCTCTTGGCTTATATTGAAATCCTCTGACATTCTTCTTTACAAATCCTCGTTTTGTACTTCTAATTAGTGACCGTTGTTTTGTTTTGATCTCTCCGCTGCGTTTCCGCATTCGTCACTTCTGAGCGGCGCTGACCTCATACGTCATCCGCCCGGAGCTGCTTCCGTTTACAACCGTGAGCGCAATCTAGATTTAAGTGATTATTATTTTTTGAATATGGATATTTTTCTTACAAAAACGCATGGATTCGCTACAGGAGACCTTTGTTCACCCCCCGGAGCCGTGTGAGACACTTTTTTTATTATGAATGGGCGCTTTTTATGTCACTTCTTTTGGACTGATGCATGCAACACCTGCTGAGTGCCATTAAACAGCTTGAAAGATCAAAGACCATTTTTAATATAACGCCGACTGGATTCATCTGAAAGAAGAAAGTCATATACACCTAGGATGAGTAATTTACCCTTGAACTAACCCTTTAAGGTTTATTTTTCAGTTTTAGTTTTCGAACTTGAGGTTGAGTAGAAACACTTGAAATATTTGTCAGTATTTCTCATCAGATAAGTCCTCTCATAAGTATTGAAGTGCTACATCAGTAAATGAGGAGTTTATCAGATGATCTGACAGAAGTGTTCACGCTACACAATGCTTGAAAATAATCAGTGTGTGGTCAAAACCATCAGCTAGCAATTACAGAATGAAAACAGCCAGAAGGAGACAACATTTCTGAAATGATCTACATGAATGTGAGCTTCATCTAAATTATTATGATTATAAGGACTCTTATTAAACAGCCATCAATCATCAGCCGTGCTTTAACAGCTTCCTGTGGTTCAGAAGCTGTTTCTTGCTTGTTTAAAACATGTATTCAATACAAGCAATGCTTTATATAGCAGACCAAACACAGTTTGTAAATGTAATGCTTAAAAATGAGGAACAGATTTGACATGCAATTCATGACATTTGCAAAAACAGTTATGAATTATAAAAATCATTTAACATCTTGGAATACAAAATATAGCCATTGAGTGTCTCGTCAGCCTGCTGGATTACAGAAGAGCTCAAGTTCAGTTTCATTGACACGCTCATAATAACATTTAACGTCATTTAGCAGATGCTTTTATCCAAAGCTGTACAGCAATAAAAGTTACATTTTAAAGTCAACATGATTCATAATTCATGTTTCTGATCTCATTATGGACGCTTGTTTCTGCCACGGGAGTAAAAAAAAAGGTCATTGTAATCTCGCAAATCTGACTTTATATCTCACAATTATATACTTTTCTATATAAACTTTATATCTCGCAAAATAAAAATTTTTCTTTGCAATTCTGAGTTTGTCAATTAAATTTTTTCTTTGCAATTCTGAGTTTATATCACAATTCTATTTTTTCCTCACAATTCCAATTTTTTTATTGCAATTCTGACTCTCACAATTCAAATTTTTCCTCACAGTTCTGTCTTCCTTGACTTCATATTTTGGAATTCAGACTTTTATTGCAATTAAATTTTTTTAATTACAATTCTTAGTTCATATCTTACAATTCAATTTTTTTCCCAATTTAGACTTTCACAATTCAGTTTTTATTTCCTCACAATTCTGACTTTATATCTCGCAATTCTAAATTTTTTCTATTACGATTCTTAGTTCATATCTCGCGACTCTGACTTTGAATTCTACATTTTTCTTGCAATTCTTAGTTTACATCTCACAATTCTGACTTTTTATCTTGCAATTCAGTTTGTATCTCACATTTCTGATTCTGACCTTTTCACCACCACTTCTGAGTTTATATCTCACAATTACATTTTTTTTCTCACAATTTTTACGTCTCGCAATTGTAAGTTAATGTTTTTTCCCCCTCAGAATTGCAAGAAATAAGGTCACAATGACCTTTTAATTCCTTGTCCTGGAGCAGAAACAGGCTTCCATACATTGTGAACGATCATCAGATGTATTTAATAAACCCATCAGCACAGTCTATATTACACACGACACAATGTCAACAGTTCTGTGCAAACGCATTAGAATAAGAGGAATAAATGCTGACAGAATGATGGTTTGGGGGGGAACCTCTCCTGTCCTCCTCCATGAGGTTCTCCAGAGGAACGTCAGGGTTTTTCCAGTAGATCAGGAAGGTTCACAGTCTCTAAAGTGCTGAAGGTCAGCATCGCGACATGCGTCTGCGGTACTGCTCCACCAGCGGCACCAGACAGCGAGGAGAAGCGGCCTGCAGCATGAAGGGGTGCTGGAGCAGATCTGCGGCGCTCGCTCGCTCCAGCGGATCACACGTCAACATCGAGTCCAGAAAGTCCCTCAGGACGGGAGAGATCTGATCACACCACAGAGATCATTATACATAATATCAAACATCATAATGACCAAACATAACTTCATGGTCCTGAAAGTAGGATTCATTTTCTTCTTTTTAAGCAGATTTTGGGGACACTTGTGTTTATGGTATTCATGATATATAGTAATTAAGTGATTTTATTTTATATATGCATGAAGTCAGTATTGTTTTAGTATTAATTATAGCTTTCATTTTTATAAAATTTATATTAGCCTTTAAATTTTACAATTTTAAGTTTAGTAATTTGTTATGTTCTTAGTCCTTTTTATTTATTTTTTAATATTTCTATTAAGATTTAATTAATTTTTTATATTACATTTATGTTAGCTTTTATCTCTTACAATTTTTACTTTAGCAATTTTGTTATGTGCCTTTGTCATTTTTATTAAAATGTTTAATACATTTCTATTTAGCTTTTTAATAATTTTTCAGTTTTAGTAATTGTGGTACTTTTAAACATTCATAATTTTCAGTTTGCATTTTTTTAAGTTTAAGTGTTTCATCTATTATTTCTATTTAATTTAATTTAGGCTTTTTTAATTAATGAAAATTATTTTTAGTAGTTTAAAGTGTAATAAGTGTTGTTTTTGTATTGTTTATATATTTATAGTATTTGTTAATATTTTGAATTAGCTTTTATTTTTTTATGTTAGATTTATATTAGCTTAAAATTTTAGAATTTTAATTTCAGTAATTTTGTTTTGTGTTTTTGTCATTTTTTTATTCATTTTTGTTTTTTAATATTTCTAAGTTTTATTAATTTTACTACTTTTAAGAATGTATAATTTTTATGGGGAAAAAAAGTGTTTCATCGAATATTTATATTTTATTTCATTTCAGCCTTTTTAATTAATGAAATGTCATTTTTATTAAGCTTTATTTTTCAGTTTTACTATCTAGTACTTTTAAACATTTATAATTTTTATAACTTTTATACATTTTTATAATTTATAATTATAACGTTTACATTTTTGAAGTTTAAGCGTTTCATCTAATATTAATATTTAATTTCAACTTTATTTCAATTAATGATTTTTATAGTTTTACTGTACAATAACTATGGAAGCCCGTTTCCGCCACTGATCGGTTAAAATTTTTGAAAAACTGATATTTTTTCTCAGAATTGTGAGATGAGATATAAACTCGCAATTCTGAGAACATATCGGAACTTTTTTTCTCCTCAGAACTGGACTTTATTTCTCGCAATTCTGACGTTTATATCTCGCCATTCTGACGTTTATATCTCGCAATTATGACGTTTATATCTCGCAATTATGACTTTTATATCTCGCCATTCTGACGTTTATATCTCGCAATTCTGACGTTTTTAAAGTTATTATTTTTCTGTTAATTATAATTCTATATCATTTTTATAATTTTTTATTTCAGTTTTAGTTATTTTATTACATCAAGTTAAACTAAACTGAGCTGATTATGACATGAATATAGTTTTAGCTTCAGTTTTAGTTGACTGAATGAACTGTTGAGGTTAGGCTGGTTTTACCCTGCTGATGTTTCTGGCGGTCGGCGCCGGCTCGTCTCGCAGTCTCTTCATCGCTGCTATCGGCGTCTCGCTGAAATACGGAGGCTCTCCATCGATCATCTCCACCACCATGATCCCCAGAGACCACATGTCCACCTACAAACACACAAAACATCAGGATCTTTCACTTCAGCAGAAAGCAGCATCTCTGCCTCACTAATTCTGATTCCTGCAGCCTTCTCAAGAATCACAAAAAACTCTAGATAAAGTTCATGTAGACGCGTCTGAGAAGTTCACACAGACACTTGTATTGTACTGTGAGTCAGTGAAAAATATGAGGAAACAAACGTAAA